ACTCTATCTACAAATGTGGGGGGGCACAATGAAGGAAAATAACAGGGAAGGGTGAGAGAAAGAGTGAGAGTGATAATCAGAAATGAACGAAGTAGGAAAAAGAGTATGAGAGTAACAGGGGAAGAAAATAGGTTTAGTGTTATTCGCCATGAGGGGTAGTTGGAACGTTTTGCTTCCAGGGTTTTTATTAGGTTGTAGGGTATATTGGAGTTGTACAAAATGAGCAAGCCTTCCGATTCATGAACACTTGGAACTAATCTGCTTTCGTACGATGCACATTAACAATTTTGAAAGTGTAATTCCTGTTTTAGTTATCGTTCATGAAATGTAAGGTACTCTTATCCTTGAATCTTTAATTCCACATGCATTCAGAGTCACTACCCACGACACGAAACAGTACCGATAATATGCAGTCAAGTCGCCTCATAGAAAATGGTTACAAACCGTATTAATGCTATTACACAAGCAGAAAACTTACGGAATACATATATACTTTATATAATGGGGATTTATTGACAGCAACTACAGTAATTTTGCCTCTAGGAGAAGATTTGCAAATAATATAGGATGTAAATTTTCCTCGCAAAGAATAGCTGCCAGCAGTATGCAGAGCCACTTACCCTAAGGAAGAATAGCTGCCAGCAGTATGCAGAGCCACTTACCCTAAGGAAGAATAGCTGCCAGCAGAATGCAGACACACACACACACACACACAGAATATTGTGATCTCATAAGCTTACTTTTATTTTTTCGAAGTAAGGAAGTAGGCTAAAATATGAAGAGCCACCGACCCCCATCAATATTAATTGTCATCAGTACGTCTCCCCATAACCTCATATCAACAGCATAAAGAACCCCTATTCTCTCAGAAAATAATTACCAATTACATGAAGGATACTCTTCTACCGTGAAGACTGAGACAGTAGATCCCTCCGAAGTATTGGTACTTATCTAACAATCGCAGAAGATCGTAATATTAGCGTGAGTAGTTCTTACTCTGAGGCACGAAATAAATGTAGAAGAACTGAAGAGGATTTTTAAACGTCGACCCCGGAATAAAGGATAACATTACGAAATTCCGAGAATTCCTTCGAAGATGTGAGAGAGTTAAGGTGCCAAACAACAACAACAAAAACACAGCATGAAAAAAAGGTTTCTTTTAATTTATTTCTATCTGCGGATCTAGCCCACACTCTGCGGGTAGAGAATGTGGCAAGAAATATAAATTAAAAGCTCTACATAATGACGTTATTTTCTTTTCGATATTCATTCATCAGGAATCTGTCAGACGACAGGTCCACAGTTTCTTCCAAAACAGTTCCTCCACTTGATGCGATCTAGAGCTTTCTCCTTCAAATGAGAATATCCTCTTCTGTCCCCAAGGTCATCCAGCATCTTCTTACGTCTTCTTGTCACTTCTACCCGCCTCTCTATCTTTCCTTCAATAACTTCTTTTATAAGGCAGTTACTGCGTAAGATATATCGTCATTAAATATACCTAAGCCAGGAGAGGAACAAACAATGAGCCAGTAGGAATTTGTTGCCCTAGGGCCGGATTTACAGTTTCAAGTCTCCGAAGCAATGAAAATGAGACGCCCACATAAGTAACAAAAAGTTTAGATAATGAACATCATTTTTCTTTTATTCTTATTTCTTACAGTGACTTAAAATTCAAACCATCTTTTCGTGATTTTGTACAAACAAATATCTCAGTAAATCTGTGGGTTCTATTTCTGTTTCGTGGAAGTGTTGCGCTTTGTATACTGAATACTTTATGGCAGCTTACAGTGTACATCGTTTGAAAAATTCACATAGATGGCTTTGTGTGAGGTTTTCCATTGTAAAACAATGTCATTCGTCCAGGCTAGTCGACAGAATATTTCGGTTTGAAACTGGTTTATCTCTTTAGTACTATGGGAAAGGTTAATGTACTGCATAGGCCTGTGTGCTCGTAATTACATTCCTAAACCGATGAAATTAATTGAAAACTGTTTTTTATCCACACTGTACAAGAAAGCAAAACAATAAACTGACTAGAAAGATGTTTTTGTTCGCTGTCCGTCTGTCACAGTGTAGTAAAACTTTGTATATTTTACCCTTCCACAAGAAATGAATACCGCTTTTACATTGGGGGATTATATAGTTAAAGCCATGATCGCGAAATCAGCTTCATTATAAGGTTAGCATATATAAAATGCAGACATCGTCAAATGTATGACATTGTCAAAACTTCCATACAATTCTCCAGACAATCTGCATATTTCACTTGCGTAACTGTTGAATGAATTTGGATGAAAAGCAGTCGGGTAGTTAGCACTAAAATTAGGCCCCGCCATAGCTCAAGCGGTTAGTCGCTGGCTTCCCACCGCGGCGGCCCGGGTTCGATCCCGGGTCTGGTCAAGTGGAATTTGTGGTGGACAAAGTGGCGCTGGGGCAGGTTTTCTCCGAGTACTTCGGTTTCCCCTGCCAATCTTCATTCCACCAATGGATCCACAATCGCCCTCACCTATCATCTGGGGCTGGTACAATAGGCCAGAAGTGGCCGCAGTACAAGGAACTTAGTCCCAACCCACTAGAAATAAAAAAAAATTGCACTAAAATTTGATTCGTCAATTATGCTTTTTTTTCGGTCACCTGTAGGGAGCTGGAATAGCTCAGTCACTATAGTGAATATGTTATGGGATGGACCAAAAAAAGATTTTTTTTTTTACAAGTTTCAGAAATGAAAATTGACTTTACCTCTAAAACAGGGCGAGGATTTCGATTTTTGACAGCGGTAGGAATTTCACTCTTAGCAACTAAGTTTAGCTTCCTATATATTGGGTAACAATGGCTCTGTCGAGCAAGAAGCTGGTAGAAACTCGGCTCTGTTTTTCTTAGAAATATAGAATTTATGTATCTCCGTTTCAGTCTCCTATAGGCCTTCATATCGTGGGAGGTTCTTGCGAACTTTGACGGGCATTTAATGGAAAGCCCACTGTTTTGGTTCAGATTATGATATGACTGGACACATAACTCTTGTGGTTACAGGAAACCGTTATTGTAACGCGGACATCAAAGGGTCCGTAATTCCCTAGTGTAAAGCAATAAGTTGCTTAATATTTTCCACGGTTTAGTGAATTCTTGGATTGCGGAAACCGGGAGCAATATAATCATTTAGTAACTACCAACATCTGCGCCGTACAGCAGGCGCGAGAGTTTCACAGCACATCACCTCATGCCTTTCAACTACGCGCAAAAACGTATCATGTTATTGTCAGCCTCTTCTTAGAAGAAAACGGGTCTGCTTCTGCAGACTTGTCATCTCATTCTTTAGGTAATATCACGCTATAGAGCTCTTCTGTTAATGTTGATAATTAGTCAATCAGCCAACAGATTTCTTGCCTCTGTTGAAGCAGTACATTAACTACTGTGTCCACAAAACCCACTCTTATAACATATCATTAGACAATACAGTTCAGTCCCGCCTTTCAAATCTAATTTCTCTAAGATGAATCTTAGCACCGTCCTCCCATTTACATTAAGATTTCCCAAGTGGTCTCACCCTTGGAGAGTTTCCAGCTAAAATCTTGTCCATATGTCTCATCGTCCTCCTGTTGTTTTGTATCCCCTCCGTCTTACCTTTAATCACCAATTATTGGGTTATATCCATTAATTCATCAAGGTGCAAACAAAAAAAACTCCGTGACCTGTAGTCCCCAAGCGAACTATACCGACCGAACGAAAGCCGCTTGTCTGCGAAGTTAATGCCAAATTTAGCGGATGGAGGATGTCACGTGGTCAGCGCAACGGATCCCCACGGCCGTTAATCTCGGTTTTCTAGACCGGAACCGCTATTTCCTCGAAATAGCTCCTCAGTTATCTTCACGAGGCTGAGTGGACCCCGTTCCAGACCCATTATTTCTCAGAAAATCTTGTAGGACCGGGAATCGAACACGGGACCTCTGGGTCTGTAGCCAAGAACTCTGACCATTATACCACAGAGGCGTCTTCATCAAGGTACACAGCTTACAAAGTCTGCTTGTCGCTGGCTTTCAACTCCTGGTGATGTACGTCCGGAAACATTTTGGAAAATATCAGAAACTGCTCCCCATCAAAAATTAATCATTCTATTTTACAGAAAACCGTTCATAGAATCCCGTCCACTCTTGGATCGTTGGTTCAAATCATGCTTGAGGCTTGTATAGGTCTGTGTGTCTGCGTGTTTCCGTGCTCTCTTTTTCCTGTGTCCGTTATTATTTAAGTAATTGTAAATCGGAAGTCAAGAGAATAATCCGTCATGGCTACAGAAGCAGAATTTGCCGGTACGAACATACAGCATGTAGTCTTGAGGCAAACTTATAATTAAAAGAATATGTTTAATTATTTCTTATTTATTACATGTATCAACAATCCGATCCTCATCATCAGCCAGGAGCCAATTGCAGAGTCAGTATGAATACAAAACATCAAAAACTAAAACAAACACAAGGACAAAAAGCTGATAAGGAAAAGCTAAATTATATTTAAATTTAAAGTATAGGTATCCCTGTAACAGGCCGTGAAGGCCCATAGGGTTGTGAGATGTTGAGGTTCACAAATTTTCTAGACAATCGGCTCATAGATGGCGGTAAGGTTGTTAGCCTTACGCGCCGGCCACCCTTTACCCCCAAGAACATTCCTATAATATTCCTGGTACTCATTTCTGTTAGAGGCTGAGTCGACCCCAGGGCCATAGTGCGGCTGGAAGCAGCAGAAGCAAGCGACAAATTCAACGAAAAGCGCGTGGGAAATTCGGCCTGAAATGAGACAGTCTGTGAGAGGGCCAAAGAAAAGAGTCTCAGGGACAGCCAATGGAGTGAAACACGACAGATATAACTTCAACGAAAGAATATTGTTAAGAGTTCCCAATTAAAATACACATTATGCGTGGCTTTGATTAACTTCAGTTGCCTACGCTGTTGTATCCCAGTTGACGATATCTCCTCTGATTAACAGTACACTCGTAAACAGTGAAAGACATGACAATTATGCAAGAACGTGGTGGCTGTGCTGTAAGGTGGTTTGGCCTATTTTCATGTGAGTTTAGCATGAAAATACATTAAGTGAGGAGGAAGAAAATTAAAAATTTCGCCATCTTGTGTGGAGCATCAACAGCCTGGGTCTTATACCTGTTATTATATAACATATTGGTTATTTAACAGAATTAAAGTTGTATATGAGACAAACTCCGTCTTAAGTGCAACAATTTAACTGTAATTCTTCCTCCATTTAGGGCCGAAACATGTAGTGTGGAGGAAGGAAAGAAGGAAGAACTACAATTAAATTGTTGCACTTAAGACGGAGTTTGTCTCATATATTGTGTGAGTGTAACAGGATGCTTAAATATAATATTGAATTAAAGTTGGTTGTCTCAGCTGCGCTGTCGACATATTAAACAAGCCAAATCCAGATGTAAGAGAATAAATTTTATCCAGGATTTCTTGGTGAAATCTTCACGACAGATGTAATGTAATGTAATGTAATGTAATGTAATGTAATGTTATTCTCTAGTGATATTTAGAACCTCATTCGGCAATTCAGAATAAAACGCGCGGATGTGGGATTGACATTAAAATAAGAGCTTAAGGTGGGGAGCCCAATTAATTAACTATGTACTGCACATATATATATATATATTCTGTGTTGTTCAGAATCTTTTGTATGCCATTACTTATCTAAATTAAATCTCAAAATAGGTTTATACAGAAGTATCAATTTATGTATCGCTATGTACACTGTGAAACTTTCACGTACATGGAAGGATATGACCTGAGTGTTTGAGAACAAGGTACTGAGGAGAATACCTCTACCTAACACGGAGAAAGTGAGAGAAGACTCGAGAAAATTGCATAATGACTTACTTTACAGTTCATAGACCTGCTTTCACCCAATATTATTAGGGCGATTAAATCAAGGAAAGTAACAGAGAGGAGACGCGTAGCAGGCGTTGGAGGTAAGGGAAATGCATACAGGGTTTTAGCTGTAAAACCTGAAGAGAAGTGACCACTTGTGAAGAAGATGTCTGAAAGAAATAGAGCATGAGTATGAGGGCTAGATTCATCTGTTTGAGGACAGAGACCAGCGGTGGACTATTGTGAAGAGGGTAAAGAATTTTCAGGCTCCGAAAAAGGCAAGTGTTTCTTGACTATCTGAGCGACTATTAGCTTCTCACAAATAACTGCCCATAAGTGCTTGTTGCCGACATCATGCTGGTATATTGCTTAACATATTATTGACCCTGAAGATGGAGGCAACATGCTCCTTCGAAATATCGGTCGACTAACAATGGAACGTCGCTTTATATCGATGAAAATATATTTTCTTGATAGTTCAATTGATTTCGTTACTTTTTGTGTTTCGGTGTCTGTATAAGTCAGTATGAATATGTTATATGTAGGCCCTGTGTAAGAGTTTCCAACGCGGGGCTCTCGGGGGAAGGCGGTCACTTCAGAATATTGCCATGCGGACCCCGCGTAACATTACTCGTAATTGCCAACTATTGCTTCCCTTTGTTAAAGACGAACAGAACAACGGTGCAGTGATTAGTTCTTCAGCCAATTATCCAGTGTCCCATTCTGTCTACTAACGTTGGTACGTTTGTTAAAACCCCGATCCCTACCAGCATTGCGGGTTGGGAGCAAGTCACCATGAGTCAAAATATGAATACCAATCTTCTTATGACGATAGATCTATTAAACAAAATTTACTACAGGTTTTCTTCTCTTCTTCTCATATTGTTACGTGTAGGGATGTGCGTGACTTATAAGAAGGGGGTTATGATTGGATGATTGGATTTATTGTGCCTTATACATTCATAACTCGGGACTACAGGTAATTACAGCGATATCGCTGATCTACACACCTTACAGTTCACCGTTGCACACTCACTAGGATTCTCACTCTTCCCTGATCGTATCCTGGCAACGGATTCATTACAATCTCACTGTCACTTCATATCACATATGAAGTCTTAGTTTCACAGTCCAATTTCGCATACGCGGTTCAATTCAATTCCTCATATCCCGGTAGGCTGGCGTCCCGAAATAGCCTCTTCACTTCCTACTACTGGACTACTACTCTACTCTGTCGCGTCTTCTGACTGTATGCTTCTGTAACCTTTCGGAATGAACCACACAGAAAACACAGCCTGTATTGCTGACGAGGCGCGTTTACTGGTCCGCTGCCTAGCAATGGACGTCCTGCTGTTCACACGTACGTTTCGCGGGAATGTGTTTACTGAGTAGTTGCCTATCAATGGGTATGCACATCAAGATATAAAAGCAGGTCATAATTATTCATAAAAATGTGGTGTCCTATAATAATCCTCATCCTTAGACGGAATAGATCCGCAACACATCTCTAGTCTAATAATATGTCCTTCAGATCTTCCCCGTTCTATGCCCCACCTTCTTGTTGAATCATGAAGATGTGTTTGCCATGATAAACATTCTGATCATCTTCTCTGTCCTCAGATCTCGTACGTGTATAAACATTCACCAAAATTTTGTATGAATTATTTCTTTGAATTAAAAGTACCAACGCCGGTCACGGTAGCCGAGCGGTCTAAGGCATGTACTGTCTTCGCTCGCTTGGAAACCGGGATCGTGGTTTCGAATCCCACTAAGGGCATGGATGTTTAGTTTGTGTGTGTGCGTTTTTCTGTGTTTGTGTACTGATAGAGGCCTTACGACGAGCTGATCACCCGCCCAAGGAGTCCTACCGAATGTGTAAGATCTAGAAAAATTGAAGTGAACGGAGAAGTTCATGGAGGTAGGCCTAGGTCCACTGGGGCTGTAGTGCCAAGGGGGAAAAAAAGTACTAATATGACGCCGGTCTATTAGAGATTAAGCCTATGTTTTCAAAATATACTAAACCCTCTCTTGCCACGTTCAGGTCCGTCGTAATTACACGTATTAGAATCAATCATTTTCGATCCCAAGTCGCTGAGTTTCACGTCTACGACACATCTGTAATATGGCGGTCCCTATGCAGACCTTTGGCTGAAGGACAACATTATGAGTATAATGATGTGTGTCTCATGAGATGTGCCGTCATGCACATCATTCACTTCATAGCGCGCCTCTATGGTGCGTCTGACATGTGATATTGGTTACATGTGACGCTCCCAAAGGATAAAAGTTGGAAACACGTCATGTTCAGCTGTCAGTACTGTTACAGCATTTACCTAGATTCAACCGTTTCTTAGATCTTTCATTCTCAACCACTCTTACAGGCCAAAAAAGCGTCTTTTTGTCCAGAAACATCATCTATATTTACAGTGAACAAATTTAGTGTTTAATGATACCTCTTCAAACAAAAGGTTCAGTACTCTTCATCGAGAAAGCAGTGCAGAATGAAGTATATTTGTACCTGTGCTTAACTACGGTAATTAAGCACTGCACCATGAAGAATTATGGGGGTTGGATTTATAGATCCACATATTCTTGATGTCGGCACTAGTTGGAGGTGAGTCAGCTTCACGTCCCGGCAGCTTTACCATCTGAGAAACAGACTCCTAAGTCTCCTAGACGCATTGGGTATGAGGCTGGATTAGTCCCAGAGCCAGGAACGTTTCTATATCTTCATGGAAAAAGTTCGACTCTTAGAAGAAACGTATCCGAGAAAAGAAACAATAAACTTTTTGATATGGCCCTAACCCTCATGGTGACATACACCACCCTCGAAATGCGCATGCTCAAGCGATAACTAACCCCACACAAGCCTACACACAGTCGATATCTAAACAGTCCAATAAGTCACCTCCTACGGACCAATACAGCTGTGCTGCATAACAACATTGTATCGGTAAATACCTATAAAATCTATATTACAATTTTATGACATAATTATGTTGTTTCACGGTCGCTCGGTCGGCATAGTGCGCTTGCGAACTAAAACCATGAAGTTTATTTTGTTTTAATTAAGTTGTTACATATTCGAGGGTAAAAAAATCAACTTAGAACTCCATTATTTCCGTGTTATAGTTACGGTTATTATAAAAATGATTATGAGTCTGTGGGCCCAATAACACGAGGCATCAGTAATTTGAAAAGTTGTACTGAACTACTTCTTACATCAACGAACTTCAGAGTAACATTAATGTTAATTCATCTTAAAGTTTGATCACTATATTTAAAAGACTTAGATGTTTTAAATCCTTCGTGTACACTTACTGTAATATTTTCTTTATTACTTACTCTTCTCCTGAAGATTGGCCTTTTTAGCCGAAAAATATCATAGGGAATATAATAGTATTTAATTAGACGAAGGTAAATACATTAGATACACTTGAATGGTGATATTACATTTTATTTTAATATATAAAATATATAGGCGAAGCGAGTTCTATAAGAAGTTGCTTATGCATTGATGATTTATTATCGTGCAGCATTTCAGGGTCCTACAGGAAATTGACAAAATCCCCCCCCCCACATCACACATCACACATCCGTATGTATCATGAATTACTTTCCCCCCCCCTTTGGCACTACAGCCCCAGTGGGCCTAGGCCTACCTCCATGAACTCCGTTCACTTCGGTTTTACTAGATCTTACACATTCGGTAGGACTCCTTGGGCGAGTGATCAGCTCGTCGCAAGGCATCTACCTGTACACAAACACAGAAAAACGCACACAAACATCCATGCCATGAGTGGGATTCGAAACCACAATCTCGGTTTCCAAGCGAGAGAAGACAGTACATGCCTTAGACCGCTCGGCTACCGTGACCGGCCATGTATTACTTATCGCAGGAAATTATGAAGCACCTTTTGTGATGGCTTCATGACAAATTTTGTGAAAATCTATCATCTTTTCCAGAAGTTAAGATGGAAGTACATACATTGATTTCATAAGGCTACATTTTCCTATAAAATGTTAGGCAAAGTAACCAACATATGGCCGGTCACGCTAGCCGAGCGATCCAAGCCATACACTGTCTTCTTTCGCTCGGAAGCCGGAATCGTGGGTTCGAATCTCACACAAAGCATGGATGTTTGGTGTGTGTGTATGCATTTATTCTGTGTTTGTGTTATCCTGTATTTAGGTACAGGCCTTGCGACGAGCTGGTCATTCGTCCAAGGAGTCCTACTGACTGTATACAAAGACAAACTCCGTGATTTTAGTCTGCAAGCGAACTATACCGACCGAGCGACCGCCGCTTGTTGGCGAAGTTTAGTGCCAACTTTTGCAGGTAGAGGATGTCGCGTGGTCAGCGCAACGGATCCCCACGGCCGTTAATTTCTGTTTTCTAGAACGGAGGCCCTATTTCCTTGAAGTAGCTCCTCAATTATCATCACGAAGCTGAGTGGACCCCGTTCCAGACCCACTACTTCTCATAAAAAATATCTAGTAGCGCCGGAAATCGAACCCGGACCTCTGGATCTGTAGCCAGGAACACTGACCGCTAGACCACAGAGGCGGTCTGTGTATAGGCTTAAGAAATTTAAAAAGCGGCCAAGGTCTACAGGGTTGTAAAGTCATAGAGAGAGAAGCAAACTGTAACTTTACTAATAGCGGCATAACCACGATCGCCATTTGCGCCGAGGAGAACCGAAGTAGCCTGTAGAAGCACTATTTCCATTACTGCACTTGCTGCTTCCAGGCTGATCCAGCCGGAAACTTGTTGAGCAGGTGCATAATTGCGGGCATCAATCAGTGGTGAGTTACAATGCACTTAACGTAAAAAAGTTGCACTGCTCAGTTGGTAACGCCGCCTGGGGTTAGTGGTCGCTGAGTGGGGGTGATAGAACGTTTGCTTAGCAAAGACATGAGCTCACTCAGACATAATAATTTATAGAATATAGAACTGATTCGTTGCACAGGCACGGAAATGACAGCCCTTTCTATGCTCCTATAAATTACCTGGAATAAGCAGGCATACCATTTTGCAAAAGAATATTTTTGCGTGATCTTTGACCGAAGTGCGTGAAATGAATATTAGCTGGAGAGAAAAGGCCTCACAGCCGGTCACGGCAGCCGAACGGTCTAAGGCATGTACTGTCTTCGCTTGCTTGGAAACCGGGATCATGGGTTCGAATCCCACTCAGGGCATGGATGTTCAGTTGGGGTGTGTGCGTTTTTCTGTGTTAGTGTACAGGTAGAGGCCTTGCGACGAGCTGATCACCCGCCCAAGGAGTCCTACCGAATGTGTAAGATCTAGAAAAACCGAAGTGAACGGAGAAGTTCATGGACGTAGGCGTAGGCCCACTGGGGCTGTAGTACCAAAGAAAAAAAAAAGAGGCCTCACACCCCACGTTAGTTCGAATATTTGAGCTTCGAAACTATTCGCCGGACTAACTACATGCAGCAGAGTCATACTTGGGAAGATTACGGTGGTTCAGCTAGTCTAGAAATTCCTTATATTGTATGGATTCCGAAAGGTCATTCAGCACGCTAATGGACCCTGCCATAAGTCCATTAAATCTAGTCCATAACTATATATTTTAGATCAATTTTTAATATTATCCTCCGATACAAGCCTAAGTCTCCCAAGTGGTTTCCTTCTGATTTCCCACCATAAAATTATGTATATTGTTTTTTTTTTTACTAAGAGTAAGGTAAAGATTTCCCTGTGCTTAACTAATTAAGCACTATGCCATGAAGGTGTATGGGGAACTGGACGTATAACTCCACATTTTCTTGACCTCGGCACTAGCTGAGATTTGGATTTGTCAAAGTTATTATCAGGATCATTAAGAGATAACAATTTAAAAGAGATACGTATGCTGTTCAGAATTGAAGTTGATCTTGTTAACTTTCCAGAAGGTACGGGCTTTCATGAACTGAATTGACGATCCCATTTGACTATATTTCCAGTTATTCTAGGCCTTACTACGAAGCTTTCCTCGTAAGGCAATATCAGCAGACACAAAGCCAGAAACACAACGCGAAAAAGCGAACGTTATAACTGGTATCAGTCTACTGGTACGTTAGACAACGAATCAACGAATTTCCTTAATATTTTCAAGTATTGCCAATATACGCAATAGCCCTGCTAATTTCTATAAATTTATTTCCTAAAAATCGAGGACAGTTTTACACGAAAACTGTAATAGAATATTAATATTCTCAAGAAGGTTTCAGATAACATCTGTTAAATTTTGTAAATTTAATAATACATATATTAATTACACAGTTTTCATTTTCAATTCATTAAATATATGGAGTCTAGTTTTCTGCTGTGCTTCAATGAACATATATTAATTCCTTCACTTACGTACGTGTGTCCTAGTCGATGACGTCGATTTTGGCCAGGATCTTCTGTATAGACTTGCATTAATGTTTAATTTCGGTTTATTGTGCTTTGTTAGAGACTCTACTGGCAGGTTTAAATTTTCTGTTAATTGTATCTTTTGTGTCTTGTGACAGTTTTGGATAAACTTTATAAAGCTTACAGAATCCCCATTATACTGGTATTGCAGTATGGTATGGGAATTTTATTCATTCTACAGTAATTACTTCTTAGGTCCTCGTTACTTCGGGGCCTAAATTACTTTTTTTAATATTTCTCGATGTTAGCCTGAGAGAAAACACATTAAATAAGAGTCCTGGGGATCCATAAGGCACGCTTGTTTGGTTGTTTTCAGTTTTTGTGTGGAAGTTGCTGTTTTAGAGAAGATCACTCCTCTGTAATTCATATAGTAACTACGTCTTAAGCATGCGCCAGCCAAATTATGTTGCCGTCTTTTCATGTATATCGCTGCTCCTGGATATAGAACTCTTTGCGCATAACTAGACACACGCAGGCCATACATGGTCTCTCGGTAACAACTGACTGACAACAAATTTACTGGTAATATAACCTAAAATTACATCTCACATACATTAAAATTATTCAGTGGATGCGATCCAGAAATGGCGCAGTCCACTTTACAAAGTAACTTCAGAAGTTCAGTTATAATTGTACGAGTATTATAAAGGTAAGGTAAAGTTGTCCCTGAGCTTAAGTAATTAAGCACTACGCCATGAAGGCGTATGGGGGAGTGGATGTATGGACCCAAGTTTTCTTGACCTCGGCACTAGCTGGAAGTGAGTGGTCAACTTCACACCCCGACCACTTTAACCCTGGGGAAAGAGCACCCAGTACCCATTGGATAGGAGGTTGGGTGGTCCCTAGTGACAGTCTGGACAACATGGAAAAATGAAATATCTTATCCTTACTGGGACTCCAAATCCGACCCCTTGGTCGTCCAGTCCGTAGTCAGTCACTATACGGACTGTGTCATGCCGGATCACAAAATTATATATTATATTATGTATTACGTGACCTGTATGCACCAGGAAAGTCCTTGTTATATAATACCCCAAACTGCGTACATGCCTGTTCCCTTTTAGTCAAGGTATTTAAGTGAACACATTGTTTTCAGACACCCGTAATGCATGCACGTCCTTCAAAGTAAGTGACCAAGGCCTCGAAAGGATCTGGCAAAATTATTCCGTTTTGGAAAATATATTTTTCAAATCGTTTCCGAAGCGAATAAAAGCAAATATTTCCAAGATTTCTCTTCTCCTGATATCAACATGAATCTCATTTCTCTGTGTTATTTGATAATGTTGTTTCAAGTATTCAAATTGTAAAGCACACTGAATGATTTATTGCGTAAGGTTCTACCATTAGTGAAGTTGAAGAATTGCTGGAACATACATGCGAAGTAACGTACAACACTTATGAATTAAATAGCTTGAATGAGGGTGATGAAGGGAAGGAAGATGATTATGACGCGTAGAATGGTAGGAAGGAAACATTTGCAACTCCCGAATGTTTAACAAAAAACAAAAACAATATCTTGGCTTCCTCTACTGCAA